TGTATTCAAATTGCAAACATCACAATATTTTTAATTACCTAAGGTCTGGTGTGAAGATGGAATATATCGGTCCACTTCTTCTGGTACCTACCCCAAAAAGGGTCAAAATTTTCAAAATCTATGAATCTTAAAAAACGCGAAGTTAACAACCGATTCCATTTAGAATTGGTACACCTCAATACTTCCATCAACACAAGATCTGTTATAGAGATAATAGAGATCGAACCATTTCCGTAACAAGCATCCGGTTCTCTTAACATTTCACACATTCCGTTATTTCTACTAACACAAAATTTGCTGTGAAAATGGGATATATCGGTCTACTACTTCTGGTACCGCCTCCATGAGGGGGCAACATTTTTGAAAATCCATGAATCACAAAAAAACCCGAAATTAATATCTGATTCCATTCAGACTTGGTACATCTCAATATTTACATAAATACAAAATCTGTTATAAAGATGGTGGAGATCGGACCATTTCTTCTGGTATTTGTAGGCAGACGATTTTCGACATAAAATTCTTTTTGAAGACCAGGAAAAATTGTAGTTGAAACAACCTGACTTCATTTTTTATTTATTTTACTTCTATGCTTACCTTCTATCATGGTAGAAAAATACAGGTATATGCATCAACGTTTGGGAACATTGATATGTTAAAAAATTTGAAATGTTTTTTTTTTTCAAAAATAAATAGATTTTTATATGTTTTCTTATACGACGCCAATCGGAGATTGTTGTGATATTCGTTTTTCAACAATTTTTACGAATTTGAATTTGATTTAGTTTGACAGTGCATTGTCCCAGCAGCTGGGTCGATGCGACTACCTCAATTCTTCTACCATGCCTTCTATACTGCATTGACCGATCTTATTTCCAGAAATGGTAGCTTCATATCTGCTTTCTCCGCCCATGTAGGAAAACTTTTATGTTGTATGATACTCTTCGGTAAAATGGCGCCCAAGGTACAAATTATAAATTTTCCATACGAAATCTTTAAAACAAGCCTAGAGATTTCGGTGTCTCTAGATAAAAAATCAAAATCTATGTCAACATGTATGTCTAGAGGGTTAGGGGTCGAACCCCACTGAAAGTGTTACTTTTATAACATTTGTGTACTTTAACACGGTGGGATTATTTATTTCCTAGTTACAGACATCATCCTTTAAATTGGCTTCAACGTGAATTAATAATAATTTCGAATAATTTGTCTACACCCTGCGACCATAATGATTAATTACCTGCCGGTCATTGAAGTAGATTTCGTAACGTCGTGAGGTAGCGGATATTCACCTACTGGACGGACGTCTCCATCTTCTGGAAATTCTAAATGACACCGCTCATATAAATATATTGGAAACCATAAGTAAAACCCTTAAAAATATTTTAATTTGACATTTTTTCTAATATCGAAAACTTGAATCCTCATGGAATCTACGACCCCATATTGGCTGTTTTACTGTGAAATTGTTTGCCTTATACAACAACTTTAAATTTTCAAATCAGATTATGACCCTCTTCCTCACACATTTATTGCTACCTTGCTTTCAATTCTCAAAATTCATATCATTTATCAATGCCTAGAGAATTTCAGCGAATTCAAGGTATGTGAATTCAACGAAATACTTTTTTGTTATCTATCCATCAATCACATCAAACTTGATGAATAATATTTTCAACGAAAAAAAAAATAATTCTCCATATGACCTTGTGTTTGAATTCGATGATGGAGCACAATTGTGTGTTTTTGTTTGTCTTTTTTGGGGGACCGAAAGAAAAAACTAGAAATTTATTTTAACTTTTTCCCAACGAGCCTCCAACACCTTGCTGTCCTGGCAATACCTGCATATAAAAAAACACATTGCCCTAGAAACCCCCCTACATGTTTTATATCACAAATCTACTTTTGTCTTAGCAACAATCTTAACAAAAATTCCGTATTAAAGCTAAAATAACAACAAAATTTACAAGTTGTGTGGCCCTTGGAAGAAAATTCAAAAACATTTATAACAATAAATTTTATAGGAGTTGAATGGAAAAAATCTACCTACCTTGATGACTTTAATTAAATAAGTTTGTTCTGAGTTGTCGTTTTTTCTTATTATTATTTTAAATAAACCAATCATGTTGATTTTTTTAATTTTCATCATTAAATTGGTCTCAGACATTTCCCAATTATTAATGAAGATAGTAACAAGTTTAGATGTGGAGGGATTTTTCTTGGAACAAAAAATGTCCAGAAAAAAAGTTGAGCAAAAGCAAAACATAAAATAATTATATGGAAACCGGCACAGGTGTTTTATTGTATGGCCTCGCCAACAAGATTTTTTGCCATTTTGTCCATTTTTTTTTTGCAAACGGACATGGTTGATCGGAAAATTCCATTTTAATTTTTTTTTAATTTATTAAATTTTTAAAATGGATTAGATAATAGTTTCATATTGTTATGCCTTTTTCGCAGTACGGGAAATTAAGAACTTTAGAAATTAGGACTTTTACCTTACGTGTTTCACGTTTTCGGTATTTGGCATTTATGTTGATACACCCTCATTATCAGAATACAGGACGAAGTTTTATGATTCTATCATCTCCCTAAATTTTGTTTGGAATTTTAATGTAGTGATTTCCGAAAATATCATATTATCTCACCCATGAGTGACCCTCATGCAGAATTTTTTTGTTAAAATGTTTAAAGTTTTAATGCTTTTCGAACTCTTATTGACAAAAAATACCGAACGCCGAAAAGAATTTTGGAATTTTGAAGAATCAAAACGATTTTGAATTTAAAGAGCACGTTATACATCGCACCTTACCTTAAGGTTCATTCAATATTCAACCCTCTTCCACAATAATATTGACCACTTCGAATCTTTTGGTAATTGTCAAGGTAAATTAGAAAAAAATCCTCACACACTTAAGTAGAAGTTAAAAAAAAATTTGCCTCTCCCACGTCATCTCACCAAGAGCATATATACTTTCCAATCGCTCAATTACTATGTAGCCATATCTGTTTTACCTCTAACTATGGAGAGCTGGGATTAAGAATTTTCAAAAATCCTAGTTTATCTTATCTTTACACAGAGTGTGACGCTCATATAGAATTTTGAAGTCCAAGCTGGTATTAATCTTTTATCAATAATATTGTACCATTTCGTATCTTTTAGTACTTTTCGTCTCATTGGGCATAAACTGCGAAAAAATAAAGGTTTTTTTATCCTATTGCAGAAAGCGTTGCCCTCGTGGAAAATATCCAGCACTTACCGATCGTACAGTAACAAAGTTGTACCATTTAGTAGTTTTTGTATCCTTAAAGAATGAATTTCCAAAATTACTATACATCAAGTCCGATATGTGATTCTGATAAAAATGTCAATGTTCTAGCTGTTGCTGGTCGCTATGGAACAGTGTTGTACCATTTTGAACCTCTTTGTACATATCCTTTAGGTATGAATTTCAAAAAACTCCTCCCTTTGTCGATCTAGTGATGTCCGTCGGTCCGTCCGTCTGTCTGTCTGGCTGGTGCGCACGATAACTCTCGAAGGGAGTATCCGATTTGGTCCAAACTGGGTACATCGTAATATTTCTGTCAAACTTAGATCAAGTTCGGAGATGGGCAATATCGGTCCACTCCTTCTGGTACCTCACCCACAAAAGGTCGAAATTTTCAAAAAATATATTTTTTTGCACAGAAAGAGAAAGGATAATCCGATTTTGCTCCAACTTTGCAAATCCTGGTACTTGCGTCAGTGCTATGTTAGGTGTGCAAATGCACAATATTGGTCCACTCCATGAAGTACCTCCCCCACAAATGGTAAAAATTTTGGATAATTACAACTCTCTCCCTCAAAGGGTCAACATTTTGAATAATTATAACTCTCAAAAAATATGATGTAAGAGTCCGATTGTCTACAAATTTCACACATCCTGCTACTTTTATGAATCCAAGGTCTAGCAATAAGACGGAATATATCGGTCCACTCCTTCTGGTAACTCCCACACAAACAATCAAAATTTTGAATATCCATGATGTTCATAAAAATCGAAATCAACATCCGATTCCATTCCAGACATGGTACATCTCAATATTTCCATCAACACAAGATCTGTTATAAAGATGGTAGAGATCGAACCTGCCCGACATAGGGTTAAAAAATTTGAAAAAATATTCTTTACAACTTGCTATATCTAAATATATGTCTCTCATCCAGAATCTTGAGATGAATATGGAATTTATGATTTTCCATAAATTGGTTGTAAATGTTTGATTTTCTTATATATTTAATAATATTTATATCATATTTATTCAGGTCCGATACGAAATGGACAATATTGACCCATTCTTTCTAAACCCACTCCATAGAGGGTCAAGAATTTGAAAATTCATAACAGAAGTCAAAATATTTTAAAATAATCGAACATTGGCTGAAGGTATACATCTCTCGCAAAACCGACCGACAATTTCATACTTCTTTTAGTATTTTTTAGTACCTAATGAGTCATTTATTTAAAGTAACTTGGGTGCTAAATTGAATGATTCTAGACACAAATTATAGAGTACTAGCCCATAACAAATAGTTCTAGTAACTTTTAATGCGAATTAAACCAAACCAAGCTTTAATATCCATCAATGGCTATCTATATATCAAATTCCAAGACACTATGCCTTTCCATGTCAAAAAAATGTAGTCACAAAATTACGACTTCGTCGAAAATCCATTTGTTTAAATATATGAATTCTTCCCTCAAAAATTTGCAACTCTTAATTGAGCTTATTCCTTTGAAATAATATTCTCAATGCATTTCTTCACTTGAATAACAATTTCCAAGTTTTTTTTCTACGTACACTTGTTTTAATTAAAAAACACCAATTTTCATTTTTAATTAAAACTACCTTTACAGATTTTTGTTTAATTATAATTCTGTGTTGTTGTCCACCCTCCTACCACTACCATTGCAATTCGTTAATGTATATAAGGAAAAATAATTTCCATTTACACTTACCTATGATTACATGAACATAGACACTTGATGACTTGGCTATCGTGGGTACACAAGTATAATTTCCCGTATCACTGGGCATGGCACGGCGTATTTTCAATCTATGGAAATTGAAGACGAACAGGAAGAGTGGGAAAGAGAGGGAGAGGGAAAGAGAGAAAACATTTAAAAATTAATTGAATGTCAATTCGCACAACAAATGACCTGCAAAAGATAATGAAGCAATTTACGCACCTTGATGTCAGACCATCGGACCAGTCATTCTCCGTGGTAATACGTATCCCACTATCAATTTCATTTTGATTTGTGGATGTGTCAATTATTTCCAAACCTGGGAGAGAGAGGGAGAAAAAAAAAAACAAACAAATGAATACCAAAATTAACATTAATTTAAAGATATTATCTAGGGGGAGAGGTGATTTGAAGCGTTGAGAGTCATAACAAGTCATTAGGACCTACGAAGTAAATAAATTGAGTAATATTTCAAATTTTTAATTAAATAATACAGGGTGAGATAAAAACACTGCAACAAAGTCAAACGCCATAATTTTGACATTTTTTTAAATTTTATTGAATGACAGCAAAAAAATGTCGGAAATAGCATCAAATTATAGAATAAGTGGAGAACGATGGTAATGTTTACCGGGGGATAAGGCAGGGAATACCAAGGTTTCGGAAAGAGCCACCAATCCTCATCAGTTTCCTTGTTTTTTGTCTGGGGAGAATATACCAGAAAAAAAAAAACAATGGAATTGATGAGGATTGGTGGCTCTTTCCGAAACCTAGGTATTCCCTGCCTTACCCCCCGGTAAACATTATCATCGTTCTCCACTAATAAACAAACGTTGTTTTTATAAAAACAACAATAAAGGGATAAAGCCTGACCATTTTGCAACAACGAAATACTACGGTATCCCGAACAAACAAGAAACACTGTTCTATAGAACAAGTTTAGATTTGTTCGAATTGGTCACCTTTGGCACGAATTATGGCCTTCAAACGGCCAATGAATCCGTTACACGCTGCCCGAATGTTGTTCTGTGGTATTTCGACCCATTCTCGTCGAAGCGCTTGCTTGAGGTGATCGACACTTTGGTATTTTTTAGTACCAACCTTGCTTTCCCTAATACTCCAGACACAACGGATTGGTATCCGGAGATTTTGGTGACCATTGTGCGCTGGAAATGAAGCGAGCAACCTCATTTTGTAACCATTCTTGGGTGGCGAGTGCTGAATGCGATGATGCTGAGTCCTGTTAGAATATTCAAACATAAAATGTTTGCGTGCCCAAAGCTTTAATACACCCTCCAGAATATTTTCGCGATAACATTCGGCATTTATTCTGATTTCAAGTTCGATTAATACGAGCGTAAAGCGACCATCGGCTGTTATGGCGGCCAACACCATCACCATGGCCGGCGCTTGATTTCTGGTGGCCAACCGAAGGTGCATATTTTCAGCTGACCTCTTTGGCAAGTAAACACGATCATTTCGTTTGTTTACAAAATACTGGAAAACGAATGTTTTCTCATCGAAGACGGAGAAAACCAAATTCGGCAATTCACAACTTTCGGCCAAGCAAGGCAACTCTTTAGCTCTTTTGAGCCTATTTTCTTTCAGTTGCGGTGTAAGTTCTTGCACTTTTTGGAATTTCAATGGCTTTATCTGGAGTACATTTTTCAATATTTGCCGAATGGAATAATGCGATATGTTCAGCTCACAAGCCATTTTCGGCCACCACGACGCGGGTTTCGATCAAGTCGCTTCTTTACTTTTCGAATCATTTCTGCTGATGTTGCTGTTTCCTTCCGTCCACTTCCTTGACGTCGGGGGGGCTACGCTATCAATATCACGGTAACGAGCTATGGTACGAGACAAAAAATATTTATTCACATTTAAATGCTGGAATGCTCTAACGTTAGCCACTTGTGGTTTTCCAGGCAAATATAAAGAAATCACACTATCACGCTTGAATTCCACCACGAATAACTTTTTCTTCTGGAAAATTCCCACCAGATTGCTTGTGTACGCTTGTAAACAATATAATGAGCCGGCACTGGCATAATTTTAACAGCTGTCGGACGAGTGGCTTAGAAATGACAACAGTCTGAAGTTGGTTGCAGTTTTTCCATTTCATCCTCTATGAACTCTTCCATACGAAATCTTTAAAACGTGCCCAGAGATTTCCGATTTGAAGGTTCATGGTCTCTGATCGTGGTTACGTAGGTGTCTCTTGATAAAAAATTAAAATCGAGTGGCTTAGAAATAACAGCAATCAGTTTTTTCATCTCACCCTGTATGACTATGCAAATCTAATTGTCATTTACATTTTTTTTATTTTCTCACAGAAGGACCATTGGTCCTTGACTCATTTAATTTTTGAAAATTATTATGTCTCATTCACATTAAATCAAAATGATCCGAAAAACACGTATTGGGTTAATGATTTTTTAAAATTATATTCCTCTGCTACTGTTTATTAAATCACTACAACTCTCGTGGCATCAGTTTAAATAAATTAAAAATAAATATATAAATTAAAAAAAAAACGTTGGATATCAGTTCCAACATAAAGTGATTACATTGGTCACAATAAACCACAATTAAATTAACGCATTCATTATGTGAACCCAAAAGAAAGGGGGTGGTAGTTAGTGTCTCCCCGATCTCCCCTCCCCCCAGCATGTCACTACCCAATGAAAGTATGTCTCTGCACTCTTGTCATTTGTAACCGGTCGCCATCTGATAAACATTGTAAAATTTTTGTGCATTAAAAATTGTATGCGGGTGGCTTTGTTTAATTGCATACTCTTCTGTCTGTCCGTTCCTCCGTCAGTCAGTCACTGTGTCTCTCAGTACGGCTGTCTTTCGGTTGGATGGGTCGTTTCCAGTATCACTTTCAGTCTGTGGGTTTATTTTATTCGTGTGCTGTATTTTTTAGCTGCTTCATTTTTTTGTAACATTAAATGGATCAAGGGACAAACGAGCCGTCCACCACTTAAGCAACTTTATGATATGATGCCGTTTTTTATTTTTTAAAAATTACCTTTATACCAAAATATATTGCCCAATTCATGGGGTCCTTGCATAATTTTACAGGTTAAATTTATGTCACTGCCACTTTTTACATACAAATCTGTGGGTCCAATAATGTTGGCCTTGAGTTCTGCAAAGAGACAAAGTGGAAAAAAAAGAAAACGATATGAATAAAACGGCCGTGAATACAAGAGGGGATTATGTACAATTGCTTTATGTTGAATTATATAAATATAAATAAAGATTTAACGAATTGAAATAAATTCTTTAAAATATTTATGAAATGATATGAGGAATGGCATATTTTCTTTACATCTAATGAGGAAAACTTAATCGATGTTGTTTAAATTTGCTTATATTAGAAAATATTTATAATGTATGAAACATGTATTTATACAAAAATAAGCAGTTGGTTTGGTGACAGCTATATGCGTTCACCACAAATAAAACAAGAAAAAACAGTAAGTTCGGCCGGACCGATCATTAAATACCCTCCACCATTTGGAATGAATTTTGCAATTTTCAAAAAAATAAAATTCGTTAAAAATTCTTTTAAAATGTAGCCGTTTTATTAGGATCCATACGACGACGTGGACCTGCATAGGCAACTTTTGTCATAAGCCAATACAATATCCAAACACGAAACTTGAAAAAAATCGGTGAAAAATATAGCTAAAATCATCAAAATAACAAATATAGGGAGGTACCATTATATGGGGGCTATACGAAGACCTATACCAGCTTAGACAACTTTCTGTCACAGGCTGTAGCTTCCATTACGAACTTCAAATACGACATCTCAAACAATTTCGGTGAGTATTGTACCTTAAATCGTCAAAATACCGAATATAAGGAGGTACTGATACATGGATCCTATACGAAGACATGGACCTGCACAGATAATTTTCTGTCATAGGCTATAGTATCCATTACGAACTTCACATACAAATTTGAAACAATTACGGTGAATAATGTCGCTAAAATCATGAAAATACCGAATTTCGGGAGGTACCATTTTATGGGGGCCATACCAAAACGTGGACCTACACAGACAATTTTCTGTCATAGGCTGTAGTATCCATTACGAACTCCAAATACCAAATTTGAAATAATTCCGGTGAACAATGTCGCTAAAATCATGAAAATGCCGAATATCGAGAGGTATCGTTATATGGGGGCTATACTAGGACATGGACCTGCACAGACAATTTTCTGTCATAGGCTGTAGTATCCATTACAAACTTCAAATACCAAATTTGAAACAATTCCGCTGAAAAATGTCGCTAAAATCATCAAAATACCGAATATCGGAAGGTACCTTGATATTGGGGCTATACCAAAACGTGGACTTACATGTCCCATTTTCAATACCAAGAGTGCTGCAGACATAATATACATTTGAGTAAAATTTTATCAACCTACTACATTTCATTCGGAAGCTAGAGTATTTTGTTCGTTTCCACTCGGGAGTCAAACTGGCTCGACAGTGGGATTGCTCGAAGAGTGGGAGTTTTATATGGAGTTTTCTCTTGACTCTTTTTTTTTTTTGGGGAAACAGAATGGCGACAACGAAGGTATGACAAAAACCAAGAGTGGAATCTACTTGTTTTCGAACGAATTTTGCTCTCATTATAAATCGAGCAAATCATGATCTCCCTTATTCGAGCCAACCGGAAAAATTGGTTTTGCTCGGAAGTAGGTGGGTTAATTAAACGCATAACAATTTTTCTGATGTAGAAAATTCCGTCGTTTTTGATTTTTATAGCCGTTTGAGCTAATTTTACTCTTTACTCAAATTCAAGCGATTTTTTCGAAGGTCTGACTTCAATTAATAATAAAGTTCGAATTTAAAAAAAAAAATCTGTAAGCACAGAAGTGGGTAGGTTGACCAAAGGGATAATAATTTTATGATGTAGGATATTCGATCAAATCGACCCTCGTTGTTTTTTTTTTCGTTTATCCACAATTATTTTTTTTTTACCAAGACGGTAAAAATGACTCTCCGATATCCGAATTAATTCATTTAATTCATAAGCACACAATTTTCCACAGTGTAAGAGGTTAGAAAATACAATCGAACTTAACACGTTCCTGATGGCAGCTACCATCACTTTTGTGGCTTTCTTGCAGGGAAATATTGATTACATCAGGCACATGTCTATATACGAGTTCACATCATTTCATTTGTTGCTCATCATTTAAATATCTTCCAAAAAACCATATGTTATATGGTATTTTGTTCTCAGAAATATATTCATGGCCTATTTACTTCATATACATATTTTTTAACATATTTGAATATATTTAAAAATTCCAAGCACACACACACTCTCACACAATATTACCAATCTATCTAGCCATTAAAAAAAAACAGTACAATAGAAGAAAATAAATTCCAAGTTATTTAGGAACCCTTTTTTTCTTGTTTAGAATTTCATGAATGGAAATGGATGAAAAAAGGAATTGTAAGAAATACTTAAGCTTTTTTCACAAAAAAAAAAAAAAAAGAATTTACATATAATCTGTGGGGAGGAGAGAAAAAAACTAAGAAATTCAATATGTTTTAAACAAAAACCATTAACATTGTGGGAAAACCTTGAAGATACGGAAGATATTTTATTTATATTTTTTGGTATTAAATGTATGTATGCATAAATATACAAAGAAATAGAGAATATGTACATACATATACTTGTCTATGTTCACTAAAGAAAATTTCAAGAAAACCAATATTGGAATAATAACTTGATCATAACGTCGTTAACAAGAAATATTTAGTTTCCCTGGAAATTTTACCTTTAAAACTGACGTACCAAAAAAGAACAAATTCTTAAGAATTACTGGTTTTTTTTATCATCTGAATTTTTTGGGATTGCTTTAAAATATTGCGTTTCATATTTTCTCTTTAATGGCTTTTGTGCAATTTGAGTTTCAGTTTATTTCGTGTATTCCTGTTTCTTTTCGCCTTTATGAGCTCTGAATGCAGTCATTTCTCTTCACTTCCGTTTTTGGCTGAGTTTCGACTTTGTTTTTTTTTTTGCTTCGTCTACCTGTATTAGTGACATTAACTGAAATTTATGTGTTGCCGCATGCGAAAGAGGAAGCAATAACTTTTTGGGAAAACGGGCTACAGCCAAAAGCCAGAAATGTACGCAGATGAAAATTGAGAGGAAGTTCATACTAGCTCTTAAAATGTACTGGAAAGAAATGGTGGGAGAAAAACAGGATCTACCTGGTTGATAGAATGGCATGTCCACAATGCGAATGGCATGTCCACAATTGTGTATGTGACTATAAGAATGCTGGCTTTTTAATAACTACAGTCCGGTAAGAATAATAAAAATAAAGTCTCTGGGTCCAAATCCGTTTTATTGGACGAAATTTGATTCAGAAGATGTGGAGCCGATTTGTCCTTGCAAAAGGTAATTTTTGATGAATGGAATAATTTTTTTATAATTAAGATCGAGTTGAAGGTTGTACAACATTGATTCTAGTACTTTTCAAAAAAAAGCTTATAATAAATAATAAAAAAGTATATATTTCAAATAAAGAGAAGTGGATATTTGATATACCCTCTATAGCCATATGACTGCGGTAAGAAGAACCCAAGAAAATGAGACAAGAATTACCTCAGAAAACGATGAAACAAATATTTTCCAAATCGTTTTCTGAATTAATTCTTTTCTCATTATCGTCGATTCTTATTTCCGCAGTCATATGACTCTAGAGGGTATATCAAGTCATATGGCTTTAGAGAGCTATATATCATTTGATAAGGCCAAAAATGACTCATCAGAATAAAGTTTTTTAATCCTAGGTTTCTTTGGTCGAAATACTTTTCAGGAAATTTTTAGTCTGCGTCCGTTCGTGTCGCGCTAGCTGGTGCGTAACTCTTGAAAGGAATATCTAATTTTTTGGAATATCTAAAAATTTGGTCCAAACTTGGTTTATCGTAATATTACTATCAAACTCAGATCAACTTCGTAGATGGGCAATATCGCTCCACTCCTTCTTGTACCCTACCCACATGAAGTCAAAATTGTCAAAGCAAATAAGTTACCTTATAGAACAATAAAGAACTATATGGATTTGTTCAATCTTTGCAAGTAATAATATTTTTATCAGTGCTCACTCCATCAAGTACCTCCCCAAAAATGGTCAACATTTTTAACAATTACAACTCTTATCAAATTTTGTTGTGGCACACAGGACGGACAGAACGGTTACACCGGAAAGGAGTGTACAAATCTTAGATTCTAAAATAATATTTCATTAAATAATATTTTAAGGTCTTCTCAGCTTTCCATTAATTGCAGATGTACAGAATAAAAAATCGAAGGACAAATGGTAGATTTTTGAAATATATTTTTAAGGACTTCTCAGCTTTCCAGGAATTATTGAATTAAAAATATTATGGACATATACATACCCATACCCCAGGATATGTATAAATCGTGGATGTTTTAAACATATTTTACAGGGTCTTCTTGGCTTTACATTAGACGTTGATTTTTTTCAAAGTATTTTTCAAGGATATCCGGGTTACAAAAATCGTGGATTTCGATGATTTTTTTCGAAAGAGAGTGGGTTAAAAAACATTTTTCAGTGGCATCCGGGCTACATAAAATTTGGTCTTTTTTGCGCTTGCTTGAGATGATCGAAACTTTGATATTTTTTAATGCTAACATTGCTTTCCAAAATACTTCAGACACAATAGTCCGACGGATCGATATCCGGAGATTTTTCGTGGCTATTGTGCCTTGTAACCATTCTTGGGTGGCGCGTGCTGCGTGCGATATTGCTGAGTCCTGTTGGAATGTCCAAAGTCTGCTGCCAAGCCTTTGATACACACTCCACAATGTTTTCGCGATAATATTCGGCATTTATTCTGATGCCACGGTTGAATAATACGAGCGGAGAGCGACCATCGGCTGTTATAGCGGCTCACACCACCACCATGGCCTTGCGCTTGAGTTCTTGTGTCCAATATTTTCAGCTGACCTCTTTGACAAGTAAACACGCTAATTTTCTTTGTTTACAAACTGCTGGACTACGAATATTTTCTTATCGGAGGAAACCAAATTCGGCAGTTTACCCCTTTCGGCCAAGCGAAGCCACTCTTTAGCTCCT